CCTCTTGGGCATGGCCAGGCTTCCCCTGGCTGCTTCCTCTTCCCTGTGCTTGTATTTGGACTCTGGTGTGGGTTTGTACGCTCCTATGTGATCCCTGTGTCCAGGTGCATTAGGAGCAGGCGAGGAGGTGGGGTGTGCCGGGCGCTGTGTGAGTGGCCGCCTTTTTTTCAAAAGAAAGCCTCCTGGGCATGTTTGTCGGGAAGTTTGCACATACTTCCTTTTTTTTTTTTTTTTTTTTAACCCTTTTTTATTTTCAGGCAATTTTAGGAATCCTGTGAGCCCAGCATTACTCCTCAGCTAAGGTACTTGGGAAGGGAATGTAGTCTCTGGGAATACCTCCCTAGGCGCAATACATGGGCCAGGAAGTAGAAGCAAGGGTCTGCAGGACCCTTACTTCAATAAGAATGTCCCTTATGCCTAAATGAGAATATCAGCAACACAGGGGCTGATCCTTGGAAACGGGCTCGTTTCTTCATTCTTGGAAAGAGGCTCAGGTTATTTTTGGGTGTTAGAAGAGTTTGATTCAAAAGCTGGTAAAGTGTCCATACTATCCCCTAGCAGGAGCAGGTTTAATGCAATGCCTTGTTCATGGCCCGCATCCCATAATGTGAGTTAAAGGGATCTGCCCAACACTAGAGGGCACCTTTGGAAATCCGCCTTAACTTCCTTTGTGTGCTGTGGATGCCAGGCCGCCCTGGGTCCTAGGCTTGTGTTTGCATACAGGGAGTTTAGGCTTTGGGGTCGCTACCTCAGTCCCCTTAGGGTCACACTGTTCCGCTGCTGGCCATCCAGTGGGTTTGGCAGAGGTCAGTGTTCCAGGCGGTCCTCTGCGTCCCCTAGGAGCCCGTGATCAGCTTCAAGAAGGAGGGAGCATTCTGTACAGCGTCTTTTAGATTTGGGAAGCTGTTTTTGCCATCTGCACCGCTGCTGGGAAGTTAGTTAGGAGAGAAATGTTGTTTGCCACACCTGCAACTGGCTCGTCCCTCCCAGTGTCACTCTCCTGGCATTGCGCTTCAGTTTCCTTCTTATTTGAAGGGCAGAACATTCTGGTCATAAGTCATACGTGCACATGGGAGGGGAACAGTGTCACAGCTCTGGAGTTTCTCTTCTTGAGACAGATGAGAGGTGGATAGAGAATGAGTCTTAAAGGTTTGCTCATGACCAAGGGACTAGTTCATGGAGATGGAGTAAGACCTAGGCCATTTCACCGGGTCCAGGTAGAGTTTGATTCAACTCAGACTGCCTCAGAGCTACCTTACTGTGACGTCTGATAATAAGCTCTCCTGGGATGGGCCCCAAGCTCCTCAAGCCAGGCTGAGCTTATCTGCTTCCCTTCAAAGCCTATTTTTATTTTTATGTAGTCATGCCAAAAAACAGAAATGGAAGGTGAGAAAGAAGAGAAAATGACTCCAAAGCTAGACACTCCAGGCCAAATCATACATATGCTTTCAAGGAACTAAGACAGCAAAGGCCTCTGTTTCCCTGGCATTTCCCATCTCTCCCTGAAGCTTATGCTTGGAGCAGTTCACTTATTCCATGTTAAAGGAGCTATGTGATATAATATTTTTCTTAATAAACCAAATAACTCCCTATTATCTGGCATAGGTAAAATTATTCCAGAATGAAACTCTGAAATTTTGCTCCAGGGCTGCAATTTTGTGACAGTTCCATTGGACACTGGAAGAGGGGATGGAGGCCTTTGTGAATGTGCAAGAGTATGCAAGTTGTGCAAGACTGTCTCAAAGTCCCCACCATGGCTTCCCCTTTAGGACAGTTGCTGTTGACTTCTGAAGCCCTGGTTGAGGTTAATAAGGAAGATCATAGTTTCCAAATGTCCACCATGGCAACGACTGTTGACCATGCATGTTCTGTCTGGACCTCCCTGTTCTGACAGCCTCTCTTCTCTCTTATGTAAATTCAGGGACGTTGATGCCTTCAATAGGAGAGGGATGTGTGAGTGTGTAATTTTAAAAGGCAACTTTTTAAAACAATGTGATGAGTCTCATTTTTTACTGGTTACATGAATCGTTTGGGAAATTAAGTAATAAGGAAAACCTTAGTAATCCACACACTTTGTGTGCTAATATCTTTATTCCAAAGTCTCTAGAAGTTGACTGGTCATATATGTACATTCTGTAGACTGTAACTTAAAGTTTGCTCCAAATTGGTTCTTATAATAAAATGATAGAGTATAATAAAAAGTTTAAGTTCCTACCAATGCAAAAATAAGTACACCCAAACTCCATGGTTCCCTAGTGAGTCACAATCTGTTGTCTTTCATGGGTTAGAAAAAGAGCTGTTTGGGATCAATTACTGTTCCCCACACAATGGGAAGCAGTTTAGCAAATAATTAAGGAACCATTTCATCCACAGGTAAGTTCAGGAGTCAGTCACACTGGGATTTTGAAGACAGTTGCTTCCTCCTACTATTTTTGTTCATCTGGAAAAGTACAGTATGCAAGCCAGGCGTGGTGGTGCGTGCCTGTAATCCCAGCACTCAGGAGGCTGAGGCAGGAGGATCATTGTGTGTTCGAGGCCAGCCTGGGCTACATAGTGAGTTCAAAGCTAGCCTGAACTACATAGTAAGAACCTGTCTCAAAAAAAAAGTACACCATGCAGTAAGACCTCCTTTGTCAATTTTCATCTCTAGACTTGGCTATTGTTCTATTTGTTGAGGTTGTAAGTTTTCTTTTTAATCTTTGCAAGCCCCCGTAGTTACTAATGGTGTATCTTGTCTGCCACTAACATATAAGCATATCTAATAAATTAAGGATGGTTCTGCATTGCCTCTTATCTGACTAGCATCTGTGGGTGTCAGCTGCCAACAAGTAGCTCGGGTGTCTTTGCCGCTCCTGAATACCCACAAGCTGACACACTCTCTTCTGATAAAAGGTACCTTCAAATATGCATGCAATTTTCAGTATAAATTTTGTATGCTTAAACACTTCCTGTAAGAGAATCGCTTGACCTAATAAAATGACATGGCTGGGACTTTTAAAAAGCTGGATATAAATATCACTAGAGATGGTAGAGCTAGCATAAATACTTCACTCCTAGCTTGGCAGAGCATTTTCAAAATGCTTCTGGCCACATTTGTGAATATCATCATGAAATCTGAGCTCATCCTGGAGGAAGGGCATTGGGAGGGGTATTAGTCCGATAGGGTTCCCAGCCCTCCCAGGGAAGCTTTAATAAAGTAAGGGTCAGTCTGTCAACCTACCATGGCTTAGTGGTGGTAAAGAAAGGCTTTTATTGTTCAGCTCTTAACCAACCACCTACCCTCATTTTGATGGTGCGTGTCCGTATCTCATCTAAAAAGCCATGTCTGAGTTGAGGTATCTTGCTAAGACTACCACGTTCCAGCAGAACTCACATTATATTCCCCAGAGAGACTATCTGTATAGACGATAAGGCAGCAGAAATCAAAACACTGCCAGTCTTTCATATTTTCATGGAATACTTTATTCTCCTAATATTGTGCAAGGTGCTTACAAATCTTTGAGGTGATATTCAAATAGAGTGAAGTATTTATTCTAGTGCTTTAAAGTTGCGCATAGTCAAGATTAGTTGGTAGTTGTGGTCGTGGTGGCAGTGGTGATGGTGGTCGCGGTGGCAGTGGTGGCAGAGATAGTGGTGATGGTGGCGAATGCTGAACCCGAGACATGCTGTGTCTCAGTGCTGAAGTCCTTCTAGGTCAAGGGACAACTCCCACCTTACACGCATTTCTTCTTACTTTGTCCAGCGTTGAAGTTTGCGAAGAGAAAAACACATTATGTACCATTTTACTTAATGTAGTTTTGCCTTTGCTATTTTATTCCACGGCTTTTAACTTTATCATGAGATCTGGATACCAGGTTTCATAGGGGCAACTGACTGTTGTTAGTTGACTAGAACCCACTTTGTCCCTTTCCCTGTCTGGCATCCTGCTTGTCTGGTGGATCAGAAAGTGGGATGGTTGACCAAAGAGCCAGTGAGGGAAGAAAAGCATTTCCGATGAGCTATGTGGGTACCACCCTCACAGTCGTGGTCTGAGTATTGATTTTATTATCATTTTCCAAGACTTTCTCAAAGGTATCTCTGTCAGTGTTCTCTTTCTTTCTGTGCCCTATTCTGTAACCCCTTCCCTTGCAAAGACTTAATAAGCAACTCAATAAACAGAAGACCAAATATGATCTCTCACCTTTCCCTGAGGTCTAGTGGAATATTTTATGCTAATACTTACTGTGGGAGGTGCTAAAGAGTCTATAAGATGATATTCACATCCTCGTGCGTCAAATCCTTGCTCCCATCATGGTGTGTACCCTGAACTGTGCACATGCGTAGCAGGGTGCTGTAAATCATGCAGAATTAGAAGCTGTTCTGTGCCCCGACCCCGCGGCTCCTGAACGCCCACGGCCGCCCAGTTGGCAGATAGCGGTGGCCTATTTCGGGGCTGCTATAAGAGGCTGCGGCTGGCGGCCGTATCAGCTCAGGGCTGAGATTTTTGTGTCATGTGGCCCCAACTTTTGTCTCCTTGTGCAGACTGCTCGCTAGAAGCCCAGCCTAAGTATGTTAGAGGTGGGAAGCGTTACGGACGGAGGTCCTTGCCTGAGTTTCAAGAATCTGTGGAGGAGTTTGCGGAGGTGACGGTGATCGAGCCCCTCGATGAGGAAGCACGGCCCCCGCACATCCCAGCTGGCGGCTGCGGTGAGGTAAGGAGCGGCGGGATGGGCGCGGCCGCTGGGCTCCTGAGGCAATGGTGAGGAGGACGTGTGGCGTGGAGGTGGGAGAAGGGGAGGGTTATGGTGCCATACAGGTTCCCTCTGCCGGGGCCCCTTGCTGACCTTGTAACTTGCTTTTGGACATAGGTGGCTCGTGTTCCTACTGTTTGAATGTTTTTGCCTCTTTCAATATGTGCTTCCTGGGCATCCATTGAAGTTTCAGTACTTCCGTATTATCTGAGGTCTTCCAGCTCTCCTGAAGAACAGCGCTGTCCTCCATGCACATTTATTGGTAATCTAGAAAACCAATAAAACCTTTCCCTGCGCTCCACCCAAACTATAAAACAGTGTCCATGGTGGGTAAAGAATGAAAGCTACTTTAAGAGCCTGCATCTCGCCTTTTGTGGTTTGATGAAGCAGCTGACACTCAATTCCCACCTCAGAGTATGGGGCAGGGCACCATCCCAGTGCTCAGCAGGGGCCTCGGTCCTTTCTCCTGTCACACCCAGGCCAGCCTCCTCTTCCAGGCTGCAGAGACTCACCCGCCTCCCTCAGCTGCCAATAAAGGAGGAGCAGTAATATTTTCTTTATGGCCCATTTACCAGCATTCCATATATAGTAGATGACTGGAAATGCCGTGCTGAGCAAACTCTAATCCCAACCCCAGATTGAGATCGCAGGCATTTCAGATACTAATATAAACTGGAGAAGAAACAAGGGCCTCAAATTTCTGAAAGGGGTGTGTTGATTGCAAACTGTGTGTGTGTGTGTGTGTGTGTGTGTGTGTGTGTGCGCGCGCGTGGCTGACTAGCACTCACATTGAGCTTGTTAAAATCTGTCAGAAACTTGCTTCCAGTAATTCTCCAGCAGACTGCTATCCTCAAATTTCCTGAATACTTACAACCCAACGGTATATAGCATGTTGAGCAGAAATAACATCAGTATAAGCACTGAAATGTGCAAGAACACAGAAGTAGGCTTCAAGAAATTTGCATATTTTTAAAATAAATGATACCTGTTGTCTTCCAAGATGCGAAGGGCAGTGTAGGAAATGTGAATACGAAGAAAAGCAGAACATCTAGAAAAGCGGAGACAGAGAACTCATGAAAGTGAAGGAAGAGTCATGTGGGTGGGAGGCGAGGAGGAGAGCACTGCCTAGAACATCAAGGGGCCTGGTCAGTCTTGGGCAGGGCTTCTGCCCGTCGTGGGTCCAGTCAGCACTGGGGATCCTTTTCCTCGCTTGAGCCCTGCTGAAAATTCAGATGGAGACCTTTCCCAGGAAAACACATGTGCTCACATACACCAAGACTTTGCAAATATAATTTCAGGGAGGCAAGTAATTTGCATAGGTCAGGTAGAGCAGTATTCACAATACTGCATTTCTGTTGCTTTCAGGAAGGATATCATTTTACTACATAAAGTCTGTTTCATAACCCTGAGTGGTGTGAAATCTATTTGAGATACTTTTACCTGAAAAAAAAAAAAAATAGGTAAACTATCAGCATTTAAAAATAAATTTTATATTTGGAAAACACTTTTAAATCCAGTATCTCCCTTCGACACTCTTCTGCAAATATTGGTGCTCTTAAATTAAATGGTGCTAATAAATTAAATGAGTACTTTGGTGCTAACAAATTAAATGAGTCCTTATCTTTAGATACGATAGCTTCTAGTCACCCCTTGGGGATGCCCAGAAAGTTCCTGGTCAGAGCTAAATGTTCAGGCGGTGTACTTCTTTTTTTGTTTTTGTCTTTTTGAGACAGGGTCTCGCTATGCAGTTCAGGCTGGCCTTGAGCTCACTTTGTAGCCCAGGCTGGTCTTGAACTCGCAACGATCCTCCTGCCTCAGCCTCCCAAGTGCTGGGATTACAGGCGTGCGCCACCAGGCCCAGCCAGGCACTGTACTTCTTATGTCTTGTTATAGCCTATCGACTGACGCCTAGTGATATTTACAGCTTAAAAAGTGAAACTTTGGTTTCATGTATAAATAAAGATAAAAGTTGGAAGCTGAAGCTGGGTAAAACCTTGTGGCTTGTAAAGGATTTATTGGAAGAAATTTTTCTCCCCAGTATGTTAAACACAGCTTCCTCAAATCCTCCAGAAGCCTCTTGGATATGACCTCGTGATGCTATGTACCAAATCTGTGTGGTTCACAACCCACGATCAGAAGAGGCCCGCAAAAGGTCATTTCCCTGGATCTCTGTCCCCCAGGAAAGACTCCTACTGACTGTTTTGATAGTCTGTTCCATCCACCATGCTTGGCCTCCTACAAAGGTCCAGTAATACTTTCTTGTCATGGTCTTTTTTAATTGCCAAAAATGGACTTAAACCAAAGATCGTTCAACTGCTGCTTGTCTAAATATCAACTGTTTGATAAGCTGAATTGATCCTGTCATTTTTCAGATTAACTTTAAAAAGTGGCTAGCTTCTCTTGTAACCTTTGGATGATCCCACTGGCAGCTACAAAGACAAATCCCAGCTTTGTGCCCCAGCCCTGGCTGCGAACCCGCTCACTGCCTTCGCCGATGGCACTGTCCTTTGGCACTGTTTCGTCAGGGTACCTTCTTGCTGCATGCCGTGCGCCGTTCCAGTTTCCTGGCTGGTGTCTGCATTAGCATCAGCATTTGAGAGTCACTCACTTGGCCACCAAAGGTCACCTGCCTGGTAGCACAGGCTTGCTCTGGAAACCTCTGTCCTTTCTCTAAGAGATATCTAAGTCTCCTAGGACACAGGTAACTTTCCCTTATTCTAGAGCAGCCTCCAATTGGGAGATGTGGGGAGGAAAAAATCTCAGTGACCCGTGGAATTTATTTACTCCCTGAAGGAGTTTAATCTATCAGGAGTTCTTTACTGTGCTGTTCTTTGCTCTCCCGTTTGGTTGCCTGAAGTGTAAAGGAGTTAAGAATTTAGTCTTTGGGCTCACACTTCCTCCTGGCACCATCTGGCAATGGTGACGGAGGCTGAGGGGCTGGGTTTCCCTGGATGTGAATTTTTCATAGGGTGCAGTCCAGTGGCAAGCAGGGGACCTGCTCGTGGGTTTCCTGTGACTGCTGGGTCCTGACCTCAGGGAAGGCAGCATTTTCAGGACCGAAGTTTCTCCAGGTCTCAACATGCTTGGGTTTTTCTACAGTGACTTCAGAGGTTCTTCATGAAGACAATGAAAAGACCTGGGCCTGCCGTCAGGAGTTAAGCAGAGGGGTGGTTTGACTGCTGCTGTCCAATAGGAGATTAATTTTAGCTCTAGTTGAGTCAAATAATAATCTCATCGACCTGAGAACTTGCAGAGGGGTAGGCAGTGTGATGAAACAGTGTCACAAGCACCTATCAAAGCTGTCCTGACGTGGCTCCGTTCCTGCTAGCAACTCACTCTGCGGTGATAAGTGAGCAGCCATCTGAAAAGATAAAACAGTAATTCTTCTCTCCTTTTTATCTAGGGTTATTCTATAGTATGGGAGGTTGCTACAGGCCAGCAAGAATTCTTTCTTTTCTTTTCCTTTTCCTTTTCCTTTTCTTTTCTTTTCTTTTCCTTTCCTTTCTTTTCTTTTTTCTTTTCTTTTCTTTTCTTTTCTTTTCCTTTCTTTCTTCCTGTCTGTCTTTCTGTCTTTCTGTCTTTCTGTCTTTCTTTTCTTTCCCAGGCTCTCAAGCTCACAACTCCCATGCTTTTCTGCATCCTTACTTAGGAGGCCTTCTCCCATAGGCATAACCAAGATTACTGGGAGTTCTCTGCAGTCTACCTATCACCCGACCCTTCCTCTTCCTTTCAAGAAGATAGCTAGAAATGCAGACGAGTATGGGGCCATTACAGATGTTGTTCTGAAGCAGCTACATTTATATTTAGTGTAAATCCCATGTGAAACTTCAGGCTCCGTCAGTCACGAGCACCTTGGAGCTCGTCTAGCGACTGTTCATGGTACACTGATGTGGTGCCCGGCCATGGGTGAAAACCCGCATTGGCACTGTGCCGTAGCCAGAGTTCTGCCATGTCCCCTGCGCAGAATATATGAAAATAAACTTGGTTACGAGGTGTCTTGGGTCACACTTGACTGTGGTTTTGGTTCATCCATGTCAGAGCCCCAACATAAATTGTAAACATTTAACAGTCTCCGTCTTGTCCACCTCCCTCTCTTCCCTGTGCTTTTATCAAGCAGCTTGATTCTTTCCTGCTGAAACAGAAAACATCTAACCTAGCTATTAAGCGGGTCTCCCCTACCCAGTTTAGGTTACAAGGCAATAGAGCCATTCTGTAGGGAAACGCTACTGTCATCGTGCAAAATTTCCAGCACTAAAGTGAGGCATTTCAAGAGTTTCATTTGGAAAACCTGGAGCAGAACGTACTATTTCACAAGTGACAGGTAGGTCCCACCAGCGGCCGCAGTATACATTGCCTTCCAGTTCAGTGTGTTTATCTGGCAGGTAGATCCCTGGGGAAGGTGACCTCTCATCTTGGGTAGTATTGAAAGGAAAGTGGTGATTTTTCTTTCTTCATGGGATCATTTTCACTCAGGCCAGTCAACAGGACATTCTATTCTGAATTAACCCAGCTTAACAAAGAACACATTCTTGATTCCAACCTGAGGTGTGATTAACGAGATTCAGTTGTCCCTGTTTTTGCTTGACTTCATTAAGATGTAAAAGTGAGAGTTTAAGTCTGGAAGATTAAATTGTTTTGCCCTTTATATGTAATGGTTATTGAGCTGAGGTTGAATTTTATGCTTGTGTTTCTTTTGAAGATAGGTAGAAGAGGGGAGAAAAAACCTAAATTAATCCTCTATTCTTTGGACCTGGTAGGAAAGATCATGCAATTAATACAATTGGGGCAGGGCCACTTTGCTTTCTGCCCTGGTTGAAAACAGGGGACACCTTGTTAACTGTTTTCCTCCACAGGGAATAAATCGTGTCTAATAAGATTCTTATCAAGAACAAGGAGCTTTGAACAATTATTTCTCCAACTGTAGACAATAGCAGTGTAAGCCAAACTGTGGGCTTGTCCTC